GCAATGGCATGATTTTGGCTCACTGCAACCTCCACCTCCCAGGTTCAAGCAATTCTTGTGCCTCAGCCTCCCGAGTAGCTGGGATTACATGTATCTGCCACCACGCATGGCTACTTTTTGTATTTTTAGTAGAGACGGGATGTTACCATGTTGGCCAGGCTGGTCTCAAACTCCTGACCTCATGATCTGCCTGCCTTGGCCTCCCAAAGTCCCCCCTTTTTTTTTAAACATAGTCTCTAACACTTCTTATCTTTGTCTTTTTATTAATAACTGTTCTAAAAGGTGTGAGGTAATATTAATATTATCTCATTGTGGTTTTGATTAGTGTTTCCTGGTGATTAGTGATGTTGAGCATCTTTTCATGTACCTGTTGGACATTTGCACATCTTCTTTTTGAGAAATGTCTATTCACATCCTGTGCCCAATTTTTTAAATTAGTTTTTTAAATTTTTTAAATTAGTTTTCTAACTATTGAATTGAGTTTTTTATATAGTTTGAATACTAACCCTTTACCAGAGGTATGGTTTGCAAATATATTCTACTATTCTGTAGGTTGTCTGTCTATCATGTTAATTATTTTCTTGGCTGCGTGGAGATTTTTAGTTTGATGTAATCCCATTTGTCTATTTTTGTGTTTGTTGTCTATGTTTTGGGGCTCATATCCAAAAAAATCATTGCCCAGACCAAAGTCTTGGAGCTTTTACCGTATGCTTTCTTCTTGCAGTTCACAATTTCTAATCCCTATATTTAAGTCTTTAATTCATTTTGAATTGGTTTTGGATATAGTGTTAGATATGTGTCCAATTTCATTCTGCTGAATGTGGATATCCAATTGTCCCCAAATGACTAATTGCAGAGACTGTCATTCCCCATTGTTTTTGGCATCTTTGTCAAAATTATTGGATTGATTTATGGGCTCTCAATTCTGTTTCAATGAACAGTAAATTTGCTTTTATGCCATTACCATGCCATTATAATTACTATAGTTTTGTGGTATATTTTGAAATCAGGGAATGCAATGCTTTGTTCTTTTTGCTCAAAATTGTTTTGGCTATTCAGGCCCTTTTGTAGTTCCATATGAATTTGAAGACTGTTTTTCTATTTTTGTAAAGAATGTCTTGGTGTTTTGATAGGATTACATTGAATATGTAAATTTCTTTGGGTAGTATAGTAATTTTAACAACATTAATTTTTCTAATCTATGAATAGAGGATATCTTTTTATGTATTTTTGTGGTATACAGTTACTTATATCAATATTTTATAGTTTTCAGTGTACACGTCTTTCATTTTCTTGGATAAATTTACTCCTAAGTATTTTATTTTTTGATGCTATTGTACATGGGGTTGTTTTCTTAGCTTCTTTTTCAGATAGTTCATTGTTAGTGTACAGAAACACTACCAATTTTTGTATGTTGCATTTGTATCTTGCAAGTTTACTTAATTTATCAGTTTTAACAGTTTTCCAGTGAATTCTCAGGCTTTTCTGTATATAAGGTCAGATCATCAGTAAACAGAAACAACATCCTCTTCCTTTCATATTTTGATACATTTTCTTTCTTTTTTTTTTTTGCCTAATTGCTAATTGGGTAGAACTTTTAATACTATATTGAATGGAGGTGGCCAGAGTAGTCATACTTTATCTTTAGAGTTCACTGCGTAGTTCTAGAGATTAAAAATGGTAAAAATTTATACCAAAAAGTGATATAAAAATGACTCTTTAAAAAACGTTCAATTTATCTTTTCTGGTAACATTTTATTCCAGCACTATGCTTTTCTCTCTTATTTATGAGTATAGATGGTTGTGATGTTGGTATTGGCAACAACATTTTGGTGTTCATACATGTTCTATTACACTAATTTCTGAATAAAAGTTAACTTAGACTGTTACTTAATTCTCATTATATGAGAATTGCCATGAAGCCAATAAAAATCTGCCTAATGATTTTCCTGGATAATGGTCATTTTCTTATTTGATATTATGTCCATGTTCCTGTGGACATGAGTGAAGAGAAGATGTTGATAAATTAAGTAAAATCCTTAATTCTCAGTTTCAGTTTCCTTATCTTTAAAACATGAAAAAAAGTCCTCTTATTTTTACCCAAGAGGATGATAGTATTATCTTAATGGCAGGTATTGATCTGTGCCCTTTATGCATTAACTATGGTGAGAAAATTACCATAGAGGGGACAAAGAACACTCCACAGCATTTGTCAGTCATGATTTGATGCTTTATTTTCTCCTTTCTTCTTGAAAAATTTCAAGAGTAGACAGCTGACCTTCCTCTGAACAGTTTCTTTTCTGCTATCATCACCTACAATTAAGTCTAAAACTTAATATGTCTAAGACATTACACATGTAATGGAAGAGGGTTAATAAGGGGAATAAAAGCTCCAAGAGAATTAAATCACATTAAATAGGACAGTTGGGCCATAGTGCACTCTGTCTGGAGAATTAACAATGTACTGTTCAGGCTGGTGGAAGAGATCAGTTTGTACTTCCTTATATGTGAGTGTGTTAGGTTCAAAAAGAGAAGAAATAATACAATTTCCAGAAGGAAAGATATATTGATGACAGATGTAGTAGGTTAGTGCCAGGCCCACATGGCCTTAAATTCCTATATCAGTTCTGTGTGTCCATCTCCCTGCTTTCTCATTTTTTGCTCTTAACCACTTTCTCCTGAAGCCTTTAGAAGGCTGCCCTTGGGTACTGGGGCCATATCTGGAATCAAGCTCCTAAGAGTTTTACATCCCCTACCTCAGGGCAACCTGTAGCCAATGGCTATTTAGTGTGGAAGTCCAAAGACTCATCTCTTTTTCTTCTGGTAGGACAAACTAGGGTATACTTTACATTCTACCAAGATCTAGTGGAGTCTGGGATTTCAATTGACATTGTACCCTTATTTTGCTTTTCTTTCTTTTCTATCTTGCCTAATCCACCTTCTTACTAATGTATCCTTATAAGCACTTTCTTTATTATACATTTGCATGCAAATTCTTAGCCTAAGGTCTGTTTTGGGGACAACCTGAACATAGACAATAGACTACCATAACTTCTTAGCTTTTATTTAATAACTTAAATCACACTTGATAGGCACCCTCTATTTAAATCCAATGAGCACACACTTTATAAAGAAATATTAACCAACCTGTCAACAAATGCATGGTGAAGAAGGAAGATGGGATCGTTGGCAGATCCCTGGACCTGGGACATTGTTCCATTCATATAGATGTGCAAGGCATTGTGCATGCTGCTTTGAGAGGCATCTGCTATCCCAGTAAGTGGACTAGCAAATCCTGTTCAGTAAAAAAAATGAAAAAAAAATTTACTTTAATGACTGAAAACCCAAGTGATTATCCCATTTGATTTATAACTATAACTTAAAGCCCAATTCAAAATATAAAGTCAAAAATAAAATTCATTCCGCATTGAGACTCTTTACATTCTGGATACCCAATGTGTATTCAATAAATATTTGTGGAATTAAATGGCCTCAATTTGGGTAAAATAGACTGCTTAACCAGATAAAAGAGGCTGAGCCAGTTTGTGTTCCCTCCTGTTCCTTCTGCCTATAATTTCTGTTTCAATTATGGACAAGTCATAGGAACATTTTATAATAACCAGCAGTCACTTTCACTTCAGTCTGTAACAACACTCACAGCAGATCTTTTCAGACTGTTATGTATCCCCTTGCTTTCCAGTTCTGGAGAATACTTTAAGTTTGGTTTCTGGTTCCAGAGAAAGCGTAAAATTTGTGACTTTTCACATTTCAATTCCTCTTTCACAGGAACATCTTTCATATCAGTTCATAATGTGTTTGATTTTACAAAACATTCATTTCAAAAATAATCAGAACTCCAGTAAATATTTCCGTTTATTACATTAGCATCAGTAATAATGGGAAAATTTTTAAGAAGAGCTATTATTTTCTAAATGTTGAGTATGCTAAATGTTTATTGTGACGTATGTTCTTCAATCTTTACAGTAACTCTGTTGGTGAGAAATTATTATCCCTATTCAAAGAAAACTGAGGTTCAGAGAAGTTCTGAGTTTACCAAACTACCCAGGTAGAGTTGGGATTTTAATCCATATCAATTAGACGCTAAGATATGAGCTCTTGGAATTTTGTGTTCTCTCTCATATGCCCATTAACAAGAGGAAGAGGAAGGTGACTTTTTGTGCCCACTCAGGCAAAACTGAGAGTTAGGACCAGAAAAAGAAGTTTGAATAACAAAATTGAATTGTAAACAGGAACCAAGTTGGGGGAACATGACAAAGGTCATTCAGAATTTAGAAATATCAAGCAAGCAGAAATTGTGAATAAGATTGTAATGTAAACCAGAGTTATAACAGAAACAGTGAAAAAAATTAGGATTTAGGCAGGGAGGTTCTAGCTTTATTTCATACAAGTAGAACTATATTATTGGCAATATCTTCCTTATTAAATGTGCAGTTCTTAATTTTTGCATCACATGCCTTGTGCTCTCCCACTAATATGGCTCATAGTGTTTCTGCCCCTTCAGGTAGTGGTGTTTTTCCCTCCTTTTCCCTCCTTTTGAACTTATTTTATTCATTCTGGGAGACCATATCAATCCGTGATCCCTCTGAAAAAGTAGCCTAAGAACATGCATGTCCCTCTCCTTTATACAGTTTTGTCTATGACAACTTCTGTGACTATATATACATGACAATCTGTGTAGAGATTTTTCTAGATCTTGACATTTTATGTGACATTTAGAAAGATCTGACCAATTAAGTACCTCCATTATTATAGAAACGGGAAAAAGGGCTTAGAGGGGGCAAAGAACTTGTCTAAGGTAAAATAACAAGTTGGAGGTTAAGGTTAGAGCAGATACCTGTTTTAGTATAGAACTTATGCTCCTAAATACAATGGTTTACTTCCTTTGCTATGTAGCAATAAATCATGTCACTGAGGACAATGTTCTGCATAGAAGTTGTTTTCAAGATTTTATCTTTGAGTAGCACCAAATGAAAAATTTAAAACCACTTACACTCTCACACTTTTTAAAGTAGGTCCCAAACTGATTGTTTTAATTTAAAATAATTTTAAATAATTTTTTTATTTTTCATTGGTATTTAACAATTGTACATATCTTTGGGGTACATGTGATATTTTGATG